TAGTTAGCTAGATTACTAAATCTTTTAGTGCTACATTTTTACATTTTCCTGGAAACTGGTTCTTTGAATGTTATTGTTTTAAATATTACAGTAAAGGTGTTCTATGCTATTCTATTCTGTTCTGATTTATGGTATTCTATTCTCTTCTGTTCTGTTTTATGGTATTCTATTCTGTTCTGTTTTCGGGTATTCTATTCTCCTCGGTTCCGTTTGATGTTGGGCATCATTCCTTAAAGCAGCGTTCAGGTGAAGCTGATCTGTGTGCTGAGTCTGTTATCCTGAGTGTGATCTGTCTGCTGAACAGAAGCTGGACATTCTGACGCCCAGAACTTCACCCTGATCTCTTTCATCTGCAGGTTCCCTCCAGCGTTTTAGAAGATGATGAAACTGAGGCGGCTCGTTAAAACCTAGCTGGAAGCAGCAAAGGAAGCCCCCCCATTGCAGCACAGCTGGTCTGCAGACTGACCTCAGCGTTCAGGTTGTCGGCCAGGCTGCCCAGGAACTGACTCTCGATGGGGTTCTGCTGGGTGAGCAGGGTCAGGTAGTGGCTCAGCTTGTCGTGGGTGGTGATGATGGTTCCCTCGCCGTATTTGTCGAACTGAGGTCGACCCGCTCGGCCAAAGATCTGCATGACGTCCAGGATTCCCAGATCCACGAAAGTGCCACGCTTTGCATCATAGATCTGAGTTCCCTGTTGGACGCAGCAGAGGAGCAGAGGTGAATCCAGCCGCAGTTTAGACTAATCATTATTTCACCGCCGGCTCGGCTCACAGGTGGGAGGCAGGAAATGAGCAAACATGCTAAAGTCTAGGATCAATTGAAATGAGGACCTTGATGATGACGGCGTGGGCCGGCAGGTTGACCCCCCAGGCCAGGGTGGCGGTGCAGACCAGCACCTTCAGGTGGCCTTTGGAGAAGCTGCTCTCCATCAGACTGCGGTCAGAGCGTAGCATGCCAGCGTGGTGGATCCCAAAGCCTTCTGGGAACATTTCCCTCATCTGCTTGTTTCTGGAGCGTTGGATCTGAAACACATGGAGAGAGAAAACCGCGTCAGAACAAAAACGGAAGGAAAGAAACGACACCGGGAAAAAAAATGTTGTGTTATAATAAGTTGACTGCTTCCTCATCCTGGGGGTCGGTCAGATCTGAGGGAGCAGTTCAGATGTTAGGATGCCTCAATTGTTTTAACATCCTCTTATCCAGCCCCCCCAGAATGAAAAGGTCCAACTACCTCCTCAGCTGAAGTTCTCCTCTTAGGTCCAGGATGATCAGACCTCCAGGGCTGGGCCGCCTGATCCACTGGCTTTATCTCTACTGACACTTTTTACCTCATTTGTTGTGACTGTCGCTATGTGTAAAGCTGCTGCTACACTGTGATTCCCCAGCTTTGGATAAATAAAGTATATCTATCTATCTATGAATCAGATGCAGTGAAACTGAGGTGAAATTCGCTCAATATAAACCATCCAGTGGCAGATTAACGTTGCTCCTCTGCTGCCTGGTTTATATCACTGAAGCCTGTCTAACCTCCATCATCCAACAGATGGCAGCAGACGTCCACTAGAGAGCCTCCCCCCATCCCTCCTATGGTTGATGCAGTGATGATTGTCTTTGGCAGTTTCCAATGTCAGATCTCAGTAACCCATCCATGTGTTAGTGCTCTATTTTTTCACTACATCTCTCACTTCCAACCACATCTAATATTGTGGTGTGGCAACTCAGAGGACCACAGGAGAGGATGGCAAAGACAACAAGCTACCTTTCCTGGAGAGAGAAATCTCAACATTGAAGTGTATTGGAAATCCACTCGCACTGACCAATATCTTCTCTCTGACTCACACCACCCACTGGAACACTAACTCTCAGTCATCAGAACGTTCCAACACCAGGCTGAGCACGTCCCTACTAAAACAGAAACACATCAAAGATGGTCTCCAAACCTTTGTTTACCCAAACTGGGTGTTTGTTAAATCAGGAAGGTAATCCAAAAGATACGCAGCAGAACATAACGGTGAGAAGAATAAAAAAAACATCTCCATCCTATATGTTGCTGGAGTCTCTGAAAAACTCAAGAGGATTTTCTCCAAACAGAAAATCCCAGAACATTTCAAACCAAACAGACCCTTAAACAGAAACTAGTGCATCCTAAATGTGAGCGGAGTGGTGTTTGCAGTTCAATGCAGTGAGGAATGGTCTGATCTTTATATAGGAGAAACAAAACAACCTCTTCACAGACGCATGGCCCAACACAACAGAGCCGCTATCAGAGCAGCCCCAACCCCTTTACAGGGGAGCAGAAGACCTCCCCTATTCAGCCAGGCCAACCATACCCTCTAACAATCCCCCTTTCAGAGACATAGACAGGTATGGGTCATTGCAGGCTAACAAAGAAGCCAAACGACCCCCATTCCAAAGGGGGGGACCCGTTCATCCGTTTCTATTTGCATGTTTTCTAAACTAAAACCAGGCTTTGTTGGGCTGCTGGATAAAACCTGGAACTAAACGCTATTTCTGACATTTT